TATTTATATTTTTATATACGTGCCATTTTAATGTTCTTGTTGATGTTAGCAGAAAGTTTCACTGAATAGAGAAGTGACTTAAGCATAATGATTCCAGGAACTATTTAACAAGATTTGGGCAGTGCCTGTCCTTGGAAGGTATTAAAAGCACCAACAAAGCACGGTAGTTAGTCTTTGATTCTAACACTTGCAGAAACACGTAAAAAAAAAAAATCTACTTAACATCTGCACAAAATTATTTCTAAAATTGTGTTTTAAAATTAGTTCACAATATTGTGGACAGAATTGATTTGTTTAATTTTTCCAATTATATATGTTGTTGCATAGAGGAAGAAAGATGCTTTTTCCCTGCATTTCATAGAGTCTCCTGATGAAACTACTGTAGACCAGGAATCTGAGGACGACCTCAGTGCATCCCGCACCTCACTCGAACGTCAGTCACCACACCGTGGCAACACTACGGTGCACGTCTGCTGGCACAGAAATACCAGTGTTTCAATGATCGACTTTAGTATTGCTGTGGAGGTATCTGCCTCAGAACAATCTGAACTGCAGCTCCAGACTCGCTCTTGAATGACAATTTCCTTTTTGCTCCTCCTTAATAAGTGCACTATTCCGTTGTCTCCGTCTGGGGAAGTTTCAGGCACACCTATTTAACTGACTGCAAATGATGGCATAAACCATCAGTCAAGACACACATATCCGCTCCCTTAGTGCATCTCTGTAAAATCAGTTAGAGCAGTAATTTTCATAGAAGTAACTGTCCAAAAAAATGCTGATGCCCTTTAAAATTTAAAGCAGGTCAAACTGTCTTAATGCTTTCAGTTACAGAGGCATTAAGTCATTGCTCGAGCTGAAAGGATATTGTCTTTAGCTGCTGCAGACAGAGTTTTAATTGTGTGTATTACTAACTTACTTTCTTTATCTAGCCATCTTTTCTGGAACCTTGTCTCATTGCTCAGTCTCATCTGCTTTTTCTTTATTTGCGTTTTCCACCTCAAAATAAAAATCCTTTTTTGCCCCCAATCACAGCTAAGCCGATTTGATACACATTCGTTAATTCTGTACTCAACAGATGAGACGCAGACATTGACTTTTCAAAGGTTAAAATGAAAGACTCCTAGTTCAGTGTAGGTTTTAGGACGAGGCGATAAGCCTGCTTAGGTGTTCTTCCTTCACCCAAGAAAGGCTCCAGGGAGCTCCAAGTACTTTATCACAGTCCTCATCAAATGGAAATTTATGCTTAAAGAAAACAGTAAAAGGAGTTTTAAAGCTGAGTTGGCTTCTGCTCACAAGGCAGCCCTCAGACATCAGGCCACCGTTGCTCTAGAGAAGACGCGCTGACGCAGAACGTAGAGGTGCAAGGACAAACCGTATTGTAGTTTGTGTAACTGCCCCTGGTTTTAAACAGAAGGCGAGTTGCTGAAATGTGGCAAAGAAAATTATTCTGTACTAAAAAACTGGTTGTAGAGCTTCTTTTTGATCCCATGCAGGTGGATTTTCTGCTCCTTATACCCTTATATTCTGCAAGGGAGGAATAGTTCAGCACAGAACAAGGTCTCATATTTTTCCCTAAAGCAGAGGGCTCATTATAAATAGATAGAAAACTTAAACCGGTGACTAATTCTAACAATTAAAACATTTAGTTAGGCAAATCTTCTGGTCTGAGATCAGGGCTCATTGTCCCTTATTTTTGTTCCTCCCCGTGCCTCAAATGAATGCAAACAAAGCCACGAAGACCAAACACACCCTGGAGACATACCTTGTTCTGTGAAAACATCTTCAGCTCCACTGCTGTTCCATGCGTGGCAGGTTACGCTCATGCTCTCATCATTCTGTTGGCGGCTCTCACTTCAGCATTATCGTTTATTTTCTTTGTGTCTCTCCCTCCTTTCTGTCTCTCTTGTGGTAGAAGATCCTCTCTCTGTCAGTGACTGTACTTCCCTACCTGCTGGACTGATCAGTGATCAGCGGCCTGTTTCCATTTCATATGTCTGCTGGTACCGAATGCAAAGCCTGTCCTTTTATGATATCCTCCAGAGTAATGAGGTAACAGAAAATTAAGGAGTATGCCTGTAACTTAGGGCAAGGAGGCAGCAGTCCAGATATCAGAGAATGGGATGATTTAAAGCAAAGGCTTTAATGTATATCCAAGACTGGTGAAAAAAGAGTATTTTCAAGAACATTTAATTTGTAGTAGATAAATCAGGACCACCAGACTTTGAGTATTAAGCTTTACAGATTAGGTTACTAGCTTCTGCATTATATAAAGAGAATAAACAGCTGTTTTGATCCAGGTGAGAGCCCTTACAGTCAACAAGGAATGGGAAGTAATTAATGATTCACTGAGAACTCCCCTTCATTTGCAAGGCACAAAGATGCTGGACTTTAGCTCTTCACTATGTGAAGAGCAGTTTCTTTTGCTAGCCGTTAAATACTTGTACTTGGTTACAGCTTCCTCCTCATTTTTGTTAAAATATCTAAAATCCAGCTAAGAATAAGGTTAACAGTCCTTGCTTTTGAAATCTTTGAAAAGTTACCATGTGAACTCACTGGGTACTGAGAGCTCAATCTCTGTCTGCAGTTCTGAAGTATGTCATAATTTTCCTTTACATCATAAATTCATGTCAGACTTTCTGTTTCCATTATTCTACTTAAGTATCATTTGAAAACAACGAAGGCAGACTAGGGTAACAAGACTGACTGATGTTTGGTAATATATTACTGAAAGCCACCTCAATTATAAAAAGTAAGTGTAGTAGCTTGAAGTTTTTGGAAGTACCCAGCTACAAACAAAAAAATATATTACATAAAGAACTACTTAGTAGTAGAAAAATGCAGAAGAAAAGTACATCCATTCAACCAAAACATTTTCACATAAACAAGGTCACATACAACCAGATAAAAGCAGATAATTTTTCTTACGCTAATTAAGCTGCAGGTACCTTGCACTGTTTTATTTGGCTACTTTTGATCTGTTTCAGAACCAGCTGTCTGGAAATCTCCTAAGAAAATTCAAAAACAGCAACGGGTGGCAGAAGCTTTGGGTGGTGTTCACCAACTTCTGTATGTTCTTCTATAAATCGCACCAGGTAACAGACTGCACAAGTGTGTGTGGCTGGAAAAGACCTTTTGTTTTTTCAAAGCAGTAGCAGAGAGAAAAGCGGACATCGGTCATGGATGCTGTAGGCGAGAGAAGCAGGTGCCCTGGTCACAGCTACACAGCCTTTACTGCCGCTGGAACACGGAGCAGAGCCTGTTCTCAGTCTGCTCGCTTGGTGCTTGTTCCCTGAAATTTTCAAGAGTCACAGTGCATATCATCCCTAGAAGTAGAACAGATATCACTACTGCTCAGAAATTGTGGTGCGAGTTTAAACAAGAGTTTTCTCTTGTACAAGTTCTGAGATTATTACAATTAAAAACTTAATAGTGACTTATAAATTTTGTTTACCATTACTGACACTTAAGTCAAACAAGAAAGAACAGCAGCCAATGATTAATCCATCTGAGCAAACATCGCACTGCGGAAGTAGGGTTTTCCTCTCTAGAAGCTGTGGGACTTTTGAATCCCTGTGTTCAGGCAGGACGTAAGCACAAAATAATTCCAATTGCTACGTTGTCCTTTCATTGATGTATTTCTAAGCTGTGGGACTTTTGAATCCCTGTGTTCAAGCAGGGTGTAAGCACAAAATAATTCCAATTGCTACATTGTCCTTTCATTGATGTATTTCTGCACTAAAAAAAAAGAAAAGAATGAATTGTAGGATATTCTACACATAAGTGGGATAAAGAAATGATTTGTTTATACATGCCATGCCATGAAGTGAAAGGACTTAAGCAATGAATGCTGCAGGGTGGCCGGTACGTTTCTAAAGGAGCAGGTGTTTGCAAGCCTAGGATGAACACGCATGGTGCTCTGCCGATGCCGAATGATGGAGTTTTTATGTTAGTCAATTTGAAAACAGTGGAAGTCCAAGATTTCAGACGACTTTCTTATAAGGAAATACTGAGAGGATCAGCCTGCAGCAGATCCTTATGAGAAGGGTCTATAAAGATGGGCAAGCTGAAACTAGCAGGCAATTGAGATCATTGCCATTGTATAAAGCTGGTATTTTTTCCATGCATGTGTGGAAATGCGATGATGACCTTTAAATGAGTGTGTATCTATCTTCCATTTTACTTACGTGCTCTTTTTACTTAAGGGCATTTGATCTCACAGCATTTTCCATCATTTCTTTTCAGGACAATCATCCTTTAGCCAGCCTTCCTTTATTGGGATATTCACTTACCATTCCTTCCGAATCTGAAAACATTCACAAAGATTATGTGTTCAAGCTACATTTCAAATCCCACGTGTACTACTTCAGGGCTGAAAGTGAATACACGTTTGAAAGGTAAGTCCATCTTCTGTGAGAGGGAATTTTGTAAAATTCCAGGATTTTCTTCCAAACGAGGTTATTAGATGCGAAGTTTAGTGAATCAATTCAGTAATACAGGCAAGTAGTTCAGCACAACTAGAGAAAGAACCCTTTAAAATTTTAGAAAAATTTTAAACCTGATAATGTTAGAGCCAAGAGGTTTGATAATGTGGCAGCTGTAATAGTAATCAGTACAAATCCTGCGTTATGTGCAGGAATTATCCACTCAAAATTGATCAGGCTGGCTGCACGGTGAGCTCTATGTCGCAGACTTCAGGAAGCATGTAAACAGATCACAGGACTTTTTAGTAGCTGAGCAGAGTAACTTCACTCCCTCTAGTACAACTGGATGGAAAATCCACACCTGAAATAACATTCTGATTTTTCACAGAAGCAGCTGTTCTTACTATGTATTTCTGCCACTTCAGCATGTAATTTTTACACCTCCCACTGAATTTCAGATACATGGAGAGCCAGGAAACAGGCCCTACTCCTCCTAAGTTGTGGTTTGAGGTTGTTCATACTGGGAACTAACTTAGACTTAGGTCTTTTATATGAAGCATTAACATGTCAAAAATCTTCATTTCCTCTCTTATTGAAGAAAGCTATTATTAAGTTTTAGCCATGTCAGTCTAAAACTCTAAATAAGGTAAATTGTGGGAAAGTGGTGATTAAATAAATTAGTAAAACAGGAAAAAACAAAAAAGCCCATTCTCAGTTCCAGGAAAAAGAAGTAGGAACTGCAGCTAAATTACATTTTTTCACTCTAGAATTAAGAGTGTTTGGTCTCAACTGCCCATCACTTGGCCCATCCAGAAAAAAAAGAGATTTGATGTCTGCAGAACAAGTAAAACCACTACTAAGTTCATTAATTTTGGGTCCCGTCCCCCCTGTTTAAACGTCCTTTCGTATATGTGTTTGGCAGTCATTTGGATCTAGAGCCTCTTGACTTCGGATAGACTTAGGAGTAAAGTAGCAAGCAAGATGCTCCCGTAGGCACTGAAAATAAAACTGCGTACAACTAATAGCGCAGACTGTATCCTTCAAGAAATCTTTCCGTAGGAATTGACCCTTCTTTTGTTTGTGTCTCTCCTCGTGCCTCCTGACAGGTGGATGGAAGTGATCCGAAGTGCCACCAGCTCTGCCTCACGCACTCGAGCTCTGAGTCATAAAGAGCCTCATGCCTATTGACGGCTGAACAAGCCGCCGTGTTGATTGTCCAGCAGCTGCTGATTTTCTAGAGGACATTTGAAACTCTTTTCTCCCTCCAAGTTTAGTAAAACTTACGATTTGGTAAAAGAAAAGAAAAAAATAGGTGTGGTTTTGCAGAAACTTTCACAATTCCTCCGCAAAACTGTTTAAGTTCTCCATATGTTCAAACTAGCTTACCATCATCCCAGTGGCTGCGGTTCGTTTCACGTCTTGTATTTTGTCATTCTGTGCTGTTTTTAGCTTGTGCCAGTATTAAAATATTGTCCTTATAGAGTGCCAAATGCCAAAAGACATTTTGTTGCCTCAAAGATTGCACCGAAAAAAAAAAAAGACGACTTCACAATCTGAAAACTTTCTCCTCTGAGGCAAACACTATTTCTTCTTTTTTCATAAAAATGTATATTTTTTTTTTACCATGTTAATCTGTAGACTGCTGGATTTTTAATTGTAGATGGACTTTCACAGTATAGAATATAATTATATATACAGCAAGCAGTCTAACAGGAATGAGATAACTTTCAGATTTCATTTTTTCCCCCAGTCTTTCTACATTTAATCAGCAAGGAATTACTAATTTTCTATCTTTAACAAGGAAACAGTTTACAGCTCATTCTCATTTCCCTTTGGGGTCACCAATCCATGTGGTATAAATAAAGTATAGGATTCTTATCTAACCATTTTCTTGGTGCAAGTTGACCAAATTGTTCCTCTGTTGGCTTTGAAAAGTAAATACTACTTACAAGATGAAAAATTTTTAAAATAATCCAGTGCAATATTATTTGGGCTGTTAATGTACTGTGAATGGTATGTACAAGAAGAAATTAAAGGCTGTGGTGACATTCTGCTGTTTGTTTTACAAACTTGAAAGAAAACCTGTATGCTACGAGAACCGCAGCTATTTGTGATTAATTTGTATGTAGAGCATTTTGGTAACTGAATTGCTATAAGCTGGGGGTACTACTGAAGCCCCGAGTTTTCATCCTGCCTGCTACACATCCTGCTGTGACTTTCGGTTTGTTGTTGGAATTTCAGTCTCTCCCCGCCAGTGCTCAGTATGCAGAGCGCGTCAGATATAACCAGCAGCGGAAATACCCGTTTATTATACCTGGCTTTAACATTAGCTGTTGGCCCACTCAGGAGGCTGGCAGCACTAAGCCCGCTGTGCTTAGATGCTTTTCCTTATGTTTTAAGAAACACTTCGTCACGAAGATGACTTAAAACTTCCATTAGCAGAAGTTCAGCGTGCTGGAAACATCTATCGGCACTAAGGGCCTTGGAGGAAACGCAGTGCTAGGCAGAGGGGGCCTGAATCGAGAGCTGGGAAATGAAGCTGGGACAATTCTACCCCACTTTTTCTTTGTCTAGCTATTGACTTTGTTAATGGCTTACCTACATGCGATGTATAAAATGGCTTACAGCTTTGCTCACAACAAAAGGGAATAAAATACCTCACAATACTATTATACATATTCCTGTTTCAAGACAGTAAAGCCTTCTTTCTATTCCCCCCCACCCCGAACAAAGATACACGTCTATCTGCATCCAAGAACAGGGTGGGCTCCTAACCCCTTATGACAAGCGGGGGTCCCCATGGCCACATCCAAGCCACCCTGACAGAGGGAAACAAGTGTTTCAGTGTTCTTCCTTCAGCTGTGTGGAAACCTTCAAACCCTTGGGCAGGTAACTTGTTGCAGTTGCTCTTTTCCTTAGCTATTTCCCCCAAATATCGGTACGGATATAATAATCACGTTTACCCTACAGCATCGCCTCTGTCTGTTTATGACAAACTTAGAAAGTAGGTAGAAAAATCTGAAGAACTTTTTCCCAGTTGCAGGTCCCACTGGCTTGTCCGTTCCAAGCCTGCGACCGTGCTCCGCAGGGCCAAAGCGAGTGAATTCAACAGCCCCAGTGAACCAGTAACGTACAGGAACTGGAGCGCGTCAAGACTGACCAGGAATGCGAACAGTGATCTTTGTAGCGATGAAAAGGGGAAATAACACGGCATAGATTAACAACAACTCGGCAGCAGCCTACAGGCTTGGAAAAACAAAGCTGAAGCAGCAACAGCACGTGAAGTTGCTATGGAGTACAGTAACAGGCTGCAGACCTTATCCCCCCCCAAAAAATTATTACTGAGCTGTAAAATAGTATCTGCAAAGCCTTACAAGCTAGGTCCCTACATCTGTCCTTTACAATTGTTATCTGTAACACTGAAGAGATTTTGGGTTTTTTTAATAGAAATTATGTTGAGGGACATGCCCTTAATTCAGCTGAAATTGAATTTTATTTTAGATCACTGGGGCTTGTGGGATACAATCTTCATTGCCACTCTCTGCTGCAGTAGTTTATTCTGAGCTCTCAAAAGAAAGGCTTTTATTTACATTCCTGAAATCAGAGAACACCTTTTCTGGATATTTTTCATTTTCATACAAAGTTTGGAAAATTATTTTTCTGTACCGTCTAAGGCAAAGATCAAGATAGATACAGTTCTGTTTATCATGACAGCAGAGACCTAGCTAGGCTGTGGATCCACCTGATTCAGCATTCAGCATTTTCACCTTTTTGTATTATCTTTTTTCTACAGAAAAGAGGTTTAAAATAAGAGTTCTTTCCTTCTTGACCAGTGTGACTTTTTTTTTTTAAATGGAACCGGTTGAATTGCTGTCATTTGTCAGCATTTTTCTCGTTCTTTATTCCTAAGGTTAACCTCAAACTGAAGTAATGGTAAGAGAATAAAAGCGACTTCCTTGACATTGTATCTTACAATCAATTTGAAGTCTATGTGAATAAAACTTACTAGAAAGCTGTAATATATAACCACTTATTTTTAACCCTGACTCACACCTTACTGCTGTCCATCTAACCAGGGGAGGCGTGGAGACACGCAGGGTCACTGTGTGCCAGGTTAGTAGCCATGACTAAATACACCTTCTCGTGTTCCAGTGGGAAAATAACCTCAAACCGGTCACTCCAAGAAATTTACTCCTCTTCTTGTTGTTACTCGCCACGGATAATCAGGCGCCGGCTTCAACTAATGAACACATAAAAGCAACCCAAGAACTCTCTTGCCATGGGAAGTTGCACCGCACGCAACGGGATCAGCAAAGCCTGGACTCCCGTGGATTTGTACCCACAAGGCTCAGCATCGCCATCATGTCTCTGCTGCCTAACTTAACTTCCATTAAGACGTGAGTATTTATTAATATACTCAGGCCTACCAATTTTCACAACATCTTAATTAAACACTGTTGAGACCTCAATCCCTTTGTAAATTCAGCTGAAACCAGCCAAAAATGACACATTAGGAGATAGGGAAACACACCGTGATTGCAGAAAGCTTGATAAAGGTCTCTGACTGGAGAAAAGAGATCTCACAAGGAAAACTTGTTTTAGAGACAAAACCAGGGGCCACATCCCACAATTCTATCAGCCAAGGACAAAACAGATAAACAAGCAGGACCTGCAAAGCCTCATTTTGACCATTTTTTTTCCTTTTTTTAGATGGGACCAAACACACAGTCTTCTCCCTCAAAAAGAAAACATACTTACAGATGTGCAGATACACAACCCCAGTTGCTAGCGCATACAAACATCCCCTCCCTCCCCCCGGGGCACAGAAAAATTGGTAGAGAAAAAAAATGGCAATGGTGTGGCACATGTACGTTTTTTAACAGGAGACGATAGTAATGAAATACAATTCCAGGAGTGCAGCTGTCACACGGTTTGTCACTGGGTTATATGGGTAGTGAAGGCTGTGATGTTTGGGTTAAGCTAAGGCAACTCGATGCAAGCACTTCATGAGTTTCACGGGGCTGGCAGGATGGGGGATACAGCGCAGGTTTTAAATCATTGCCATCTGTAAATTGGCACATTGTCTTACTCTAGGACAAACTGTAATACAGAACTGCACATATTTAACCAAAACAGTACACTATCACTCACTTGTATGTGTAGATTAAAAAAAAAAAAAAACCCAAAAACCTTAATCAAGAAAAGAACTTAAACTTCCCACATGGTTAGGCCATCTGTGAGAAACAAGCTTACTAAGTTCCCCAACAGAAAAAAATATATTCTCAACATTCTTGCTCAGAAAGTGTGGTTTGCATTTAAACAAGAGCTTTCTCTTGTGCAAATTCTGAGATAACATACTGAACACTGATTTATAAACAACTTTCTCTTTACCATTACTGACATGTGGGCAGTAACTGAGCTGGAAGCCCACAAGAGCATCCCCTCCCAGGAGGAGACCCCCGAATCTCATCTTACTGACCACTCGGATGGCAAAATTTCATTAAACTTTTCCTTCTTTATTTCTAGGTCATGTAGTTTACAAGGAGTTTTATTATGTTGGTGTAGAGTGACAAAAGTAAAATTTAAATACACGGTTATAAACAGGCAGCAATCTTACAGAAAACAAGATGTACACTTTAATTGTCCTCTGTAATCATGCTTTAAAAGAAGGCAGAAAACCATTACATACAATTTGTCTACTGCATATGCTCAGTGCAATTACTAGCACATCTGCAAAACACAGCTAAAAAGAGCAAGCTTGCAGATTTGTGCTACACTTTAAGCTCCTCCCCAGCAACTTACAAAAATAATTTGCGATTGTACTGATCCTTGCATTATACCTGTGCTTATTAGCGCTTCTGATGATAATCTTCCAACGGTGACATTTTTGAAGGCAAAAATACGTTGCCTTAAAAGTAAGGCTAATGTACAACTATTACAAACCGGTACCACATTGTTTAAAAAAAAAAAAAAAAAATACGGACTGCCACGTAAAGTAGTAGGAGCTAAACGAGACGTTTCACGAGTACAGTAAAAGCACAGGCAGATGAAGGAGTTAGGGTGGATGAAGCAGGACGTGACCCCACGACGTGCCAGCTGCTTTGCAGCGAGGTGCCAACGTGCACACGCTCTTGCCTTCCCCCTCCGCCCACCCCGCCCGTGTGCTGAGGGCAGACCACCACCCCTAAATCACCCCACAGTCGCTGGTTCCTCTGTCCGTACCCACACGGACGTACGCAAAATGTCTGGCGCTGCAGAGGAGCCAGGGCGCTTCAGAGAACGAACTGCTTTGTTACTACACCAAAAGCATTCTGTACGATAGCGATCATGCCGTCATCCTTTCGTAAACTGGTGATCAACTACAAAGTGCAACTGCAAGGAAAATTAAGTTAAAAAAATAGATTACGCATCTGATACTTACAAAAAGCAAGCCTTCAGTTCAAATGACTGATTTTATTTTTTTTTAAACAGTGAGTTTAGTTACTGCCTAATCTTGAAATCCCTGACAAATAAGCAGTTCCACTAATTTAAACGTTTGCATAAATAGGGATAGCTTGTCGCTTAGTATATTCAAGACTGAGTGAAGTACTACCTGCACAGAAAAATCATCAGTGCAACGTTATAACACAGAAATGTTTTTAGCATGAAACAACCTCTCAAAAATATCAATACACTTCTTTTTCTTTCAGAAACTGAGACCATGCTTCTTTCAAATGAAGCTCTTCTGTTACCAATATAATTCTGATTTTTAAAGCATCAATACTTTTCAATAGCAAATGATTGTAATTTTACATTCAAGATACAGCACACTTTTTTCAATGAATCTCAGTTTAAGATAGTCTATATTTAAATAATCTATATATTACATATAAAAATACACATCTCTACCATAAATGAGGTCTTGTCTTTTTCTAAACATCCTAGCCTTTTGGCCAATTGCCCTTGCTGCAGGTCTTGCTCATCTTAAGCTCCTAAACCAAAGGACACATTCACCAAGCAAATTCTGCCACAATCTATGCAGAGAACTATTTCCTCAACATACAGCCCTGGAATGCAACTAAAATGCAACTCAAAAAAAATGTCTGCATAGCTTTTTAAATGATAGTTCAAAAACAGCGTACCTTAGAATTTCATTTAATTTTCTGATTGAGAAATTCTTGAGATTCCAGCCAGCACCATAATTTTAACTTCCTCACTAAATCTCTGAGTTCTGTGCATCTCCAAGTAAGCTCACTTTAATTTCAAGTCCTTACATTAACAGAGGACTGGGGAAAAGCTGCCATTAATCTATTTATTTTTCAAATGCAAACACATCCGTTTATTTCCATATGCTGTAACAGCACATATTTATTGAATGGCTGAATGTTCTAATACTGAGATGTCAGCAGGTGAATTTCCCATTGCGCTGTATTCAGATGCACATTTCACAATAGCAGAGCGAAATTTGTTTCCTCAAGGGTAAGCCTATCCTTAATGTTTAAGAGCGCACAAAGCAACGTATTTAAAGACATTAATCAAAGAGGAGTTATAAACCATTGCTCGAACTTACGCATTTTTCAATTTACCTTAGATTCACTTAGCCATAAAGGAAAACCATTACCTCGTTATGCTGGCAAACGCGCCGTGTCTAAGAATACGGCTACAAGAATGAGTGCACGCATACCCATTTCTTTCAACTGTTGTTTCAACTCGATCGGAAGTTTCATAGCTCTGTTAGCATGACAGTGTCCTCTAACTGTTAAATTATTAAATTAATAATTAAGGCTATTAATATGCATAGAATAAGGGCTACCATGGCGATGTGAAGTCCTGCAAGGAGACCTCACCAGCTTCCAGAATGGTTAGAGAACCTGGGTCTTTTTGTACCAAGCCAGGTAGACATGCCTATACTTTTAAAATTTTAATCCTTTCTGTTCCAAAACTCATATCTTTTTTTTTTTTTTTTTTAAATTAAACAGATAAGTTACCTCACTGTCATGTAAACCATAAAATCATCAATTTCTTCATTAAAAACAAGGCAAAAATGCTCTCTTAGCTACCAGAATAAAAAGCACCTGAATATAGCCTTGGTGAAACAAACCAAGGTAAACCTCAGAGTAATACTGTGGAAAAAAAAATGCCACCGAATCAACTGTCTGTGTAACTAACGTTACTGTTGCCAAGAGCGATAAAACCGTAAGTCGGCTGTCTAGGAGCACTCACAGGAACAGTGGAAATTTCAAAATTCAGAATTTTCAAGGAGTAACTTTTTTCTGGGGAGACAAGTAATAGGACACAGCATACAACACTCAGGCTCAGTTTTGCAGTCTTTCTGTCTAACGTCTATCACTTTCTGTAAAGAGATGCACAGATTTAGGCAGCAAGACCAAATATAGAATATATGGATAATTTTTCTTTTACGCTGCAAGACATTCATTTTAATGATAAAAATAGGCATGATGAAGAAACATTTGCCACTGTCTCAGAGCCAACATCTTAATGAGATATTTCAGAATAAATGTAGATAATAAAGATTTATTTGTGTGAGCATTCAAACATGTTTAGGTGAAAAAAAGATTGTATCTGAATCTCACTACAAGCTTCACAAATATCTATTACTAAAATTGAACAATACATATGGTTCAGAATTTGCATTGGCACAATTTAAAACTGAAAACATGAAAGAGCTCATTCTTTAGGAAAAATAATAATTTAAATTTAAAGCTTTGAGAGACAAGGTGTATTAAATTTAAAACAACCAGAAGTAGTACCATAATTAGAAAGTCACGCTCAGAATATAGATAAAAAGGAAGAAATACTGGAGAAACAGAATAAAACTGTGTCTTTGCTGAGGTACGAATAGAAGGTTCCATACTACAGGATTAACTCTTTCAATGGCAAATCCTTCACATACAAAAATCAAACCAAGATTCACTTATCACATAATTCAAAATTTACATGTAATAAAGGCAAGGCAATACTCAGTTATGGCCTGTCAAATATTTACCCCACTAACATTATCTACAGAAGCACTTTACCATTTTGTACACAGTGATTCCTTATGCACGTTGAAAGGCTTTCAGTTAAAAAAGACATTATATACATATCTGTACACAATTCCAACAAACATACTCCATCTCCCAGTGGAATTCTTAAAGCAAGATACCTGAGGTTTCTCAATATCTTCAATTTCTCTATCACAAACCTAAATATACATTTCAGATTTTACAAAAAGACACCTCCCTGGAATATGTGCATTATCATTAAAAAAAATTATAGCTTTAAGGAGCTGAAAAAGACTGCCTCCACCCGAGAGACTTCATTTTCACTCTTGCACATTTAGGAATGTCCTTACACCAAAGGACATTCCAGTGACTGAGGGGTAGAACAACACTAGGGTGTGCGCCTTCAATGCAGACACTGTGGGATCTCTGTTGTCTTAGAAAAGTCAGGAACAGTACGTCAGTAGGATGCAGTACTTCCTCCAGCTAGCGAATACCTGAAGAGGAAAAGAAATACAGTTATCGTTGTGACCTTCGGAACAGTGTTCTACAACAAGCAGCAACTAAAAGCTATTCCATTTTATGCTATTGAAGTTCCAGCCTTTTTCCTTGCAGAATGACACCCACCACTGCTGGCACGCTTTAAAGCCAAAAGCCAAAGAGCTGAACAACATGTAAAATACACCCTATTAGAACACCACTGCTTTTCTAATGAATAGCCAACAACCCGTACTCAAGTGTGCTACTGAGAAGTGTATGATGATGTAAGAATTCTGCATACTGGGGGCAATATTTTGTGATTCCCACTTTCCTATTTCCTAAGTTTACAACATAATCTTTCCAAAATATTACTGGGGCAGGAAACCTGTATTTCTTGGATTAGGCAGATTCTTAAAATCATCCAAAGAAAGCAGCACACGTTTTAATCATGTTAAGCTTTCAATAAACTTTATAAAACATCAGAGATCAACTGGAGGGGGAACGTAAATGGATTCACTCAAGTTATTGGGCAGATCTTCTGAGGGTCCCAACTAATTAATTCAGATAAGTTTGGGGAAATCCAGTTTTAACCAATCATAAGGGGAATGAAAATCTCATTAGAAACATGTTATTGAAGGGCTATCTTCAATAGTTAGCTATCAAATTAAGAGGATATTGCAAGTGGATACAATAAATGACTTAATGATGTAACGGAGCATATTTCTTCTAGTATTCAAACAAGAAGGAACTATCTTTTCCGAAGTTGACTAGCTCCAGAAATAGCTTTATCCATGAGGGGTACCTACTAAGCTATGGAATGGTTCAAACTCCTTTTTAGGGGGGGGATCCTGCCATTCATTTCATCCACTCACTTTCTGGAAGCAATGCTATATGAGCTGAATATCATCCCTGGAATAAGAGAAAGTTCACCCAGATGTGACCCATCAAGAAACATTCTCTATGAATATTTCTTTCTCTCCTTCAAAGAAAACGAAGTGCCTGCCTCCACTGTTATAAGCCATTATGACCGAGAAAAATAGCAATAGTTCAAGGAAGCAGAACAGAAGGAAAACAAAATCCTAAACAGGTATATAAAGGGTTCTGAAATCTATCTCCTAGGACAAAAACGATGACTGTTGCTGTCGTGACAGGAACAAGTAAGATCATGTCCAGCCTTCGCAAAAGAAATGCCCAGTGGAAAGCCTGTCTCCACACGGTCATTTTCAGCTTCAGTTGCAGCATTAAAAGTCTCTGAGGTTCCCAGTTCCAGGAAGGCCCTGTACCAGGCTGAGAGAAACTTCACACTGAAATACTGGGCTGATGAAAGACTGGGGTCAGTTTTGGAACCTCTAATAGAAACAAAGTGAGATGGAAGCTCCAGAAACTCTTTCAAGCCTGCCAGGATCAACTGAAAGGAGAATCGGGACATCTGGCATCAAGGAGTGACCTTTTAGCACTATAGATGCTGACTGGGCTTCATGCTTAACAGCCCAGAAAGCAAGACACATGATTGATTGCAGATTTCTTGGCATTGATTTTTACTGAATGACAAAGTGTCAGTCTGGCAATCCTCTGCTTTAACTTCAGAGGTGTGAATTCTTAAACTTTACCAGGCTGTGGTTAGAGACAGTATAAGGGAGACACCTGCTCAGAGTGATCTTTTTCAAGGTGGCAATCCATGATTAATCATTGCCATGACTTTTTTCTAGTACCAAGCAATCCAACCTGGACGGTGTAGATTCACAACAGCTGTGGATTCCTGGATTCAAGGTTGCATTTAAAGCCCTTTCAAGCAGTAATTCTGAAATTTATACCCCTGATCTTTTGTTGTGTAGCACTTAAAAGAACAGCAAATTGAGTGTTTATTAAGAATATATTCCTAACCTAGGCAGTTAGAAAATCTCTTATGAAATTTGGCCTTTTGAAGTAATACAAAAAGTTGGGTTTGGAGGTACCACCAAAAGGCCATACAGACTATCTTTAATGAATGAACAGGGAACCACTTACTCTGTGACTGAAAGAAAACTAACTGAACAGTCCATTTATCAAAGTAACAGATAAAATGTAAATTAAGAGTGACACAAGGCATCCTCTGCAACATACACCCAGACACTAAGAAAGCGTGAATGTCCCTTATAGGAACTGCAAAGGGAAAAGGCTGTCCAGTCTTATTTGGCACACAATATGCACACCAACAGGATGAACATACATATGGGCTATCACCTGAAGCTAGAAATTAGAACGGCTGATATGATTAGGTTTTTTTCTACTAAGCAAATACAACTGTACAAACTGTAAGCACAAGTGGGTTTTTTCCTCTATTATAAGTAGAAATTAATTCTTTCAATTTAACATTAGTCAAATATTTGTAGAATCAGATCTGCAATTTTCTGTAACCCTTAGTGAAATAGTTTCATTACCTCTGAAGCCTCTGCACAAGGTGTGACACCATGTTGTCTGCAATGCCCGGACAAGCCTCTTCAGCTAAATAAATAGCCTTTCTCAGTTCTTCTATGGAATCTGTGTTACCACCACACACTTCACTCTTCTCTTTCAACTGGAAGAAAAACAGGAAGGCATATCTTAATAAGATATTCATTAATATTTCTTTAAACAATATAATGCCAAAGCTTGTTAGGAAGTGACTGTCCACAATGTCAGGATTTGACTTTAATTATACACCCTCGCCTCCTGAAGACTTTTTTCATCCTGAAGTTAGTCTTTGCAGCAGTAGTTATCAGGATGTCATTCATCCTCACAACTCTTCAGTCATTCACATACCCTTTCCAGTGTGCTCACATTCAAAAATGACGACAAAGTATCCCAAGAAAGATGCAGTATTTACCTGCAGCTGTTCCATTGCAAGATGTTCTGCTTACACATACTCACTTTAGTATACATACTTGTACACCTATAGCTTATATGTATACACTGCAGGTGCACTTGTGCAAGAACTGTTAGAAAATGTTTTCACCCTGTCAACTCTATCAGAGTACCCTGAACACTCTCTCATCTGCCCTCTGAAGCAAAGGATCCCACGATTAGGCAGGAACTGGGGGCTCAGAGGGAATGTCTCAGTGCTTTGCTTATGTAGGAGCTGGTATAACACACTCAGTAAGGCTGGTAAAATGCTTTCTTTCCCAGAACTCACTAAAGAACATTCAAAAATCTCAGCAGGGTCTGGGCTTCCTTGGAAAAAAGTGTCATGTTACCAGTAGTAAGGGTGAATGAAGGCATGGCCTTCTCTCAGGGACTGGACTTCCCCCAGCAGGTTGGATGCTTGCATTTACAAGTTTCTCTCCACATTTACCACTACAGCTGTTGTCAAGAGCTGCTTTGCAGCATCCTCTTAAGAAGGATGGAATCAAAGTCATTTCTCGGGGGGGGAGGGGGGGGAAAAAAAACAAAACCAAAACAAAAAACCCCAAACAAACAAAAAAAACCACCACAAAAAAAACCCAAACTGGTGAAAAAAATACTCCAGTTGGAAGGAAGCTGACTGTGCTTATGAGTGCTTTGGACCAAAGAGTTGTTTACACAGAACTGAACAACAGTGAAATATTTTTCTACATATTTCTCTATAAATTATTCAATTAATTTGAGAGTCATCTCTGAATGCTGGACCTAGAGCCAGTCTGCCTTTATGCCATTACTGCAAGTAATGAAAAAAGCTTAGCTTGAACAAATGGAAAGTTTGTGCCACTTTCTGGGATATAATGTGGGTATGCATACACTTTTGGCCCTACTTAAGTATAGCACAGGGGATTATCACACGGAATAAGCAGGATCCCCAGAAAGCAGCAGAAAGCAGAATTAACAGATCAAGACGATTTTGAGTTCAGTGTAGTACAAGACATTCCGGAGGGAACAAAGTGGCAGTGAAATTCTTCAGAGATGTCCAAGCACTAAAGTGGCCTTTCAGGACTTTCTGAAGTGGACTTTCAACAGGTGTCAGGAACTACAGCTCAAGAGTTGCCATCAGCATTGAGGAAAGGTTTTTCTTTAAAAAGGAATCTGAGTCTTGCGAGGGAAAACATAAAGGAAATAATCATTTTTCTAGTTCCACATTTAGCGATGGATTATAGGTATGTTAGGGCACCCTCCTGAGAGTAACTCAGGTCTCAACAAAAGGAAATCAAGTGGACTCTGTGTGTGTACAACAGCTGAGGTACAACCACAGCAGTAGTAGGCTTCTGCACTCTTCTTTGGCTGCTGCTTGTGTTCTCTTTTCATTACATCCGGGATGCTCGAGAGCAAGATCTTGCATGCAAAGCATAGGTAACAGGAAGACACAAATGCCTTTTCTTTTCCCAGTAATAACTAACCCTTAGTGTAAACAGCTTGAGGACAAGATGATAGAAATAGACAATAGTGGGAACATTACAACAAAGTACACCTCCGGATCTCCTGCCTTCAAAAAGGAACCCAGAATGAGTCACCACATGCGGTACTCAGCCAGCGTCCTCTAATAAGAAGAAAGAAACCACATCAGGGTGGTAGCTGGTCACTGAAGATCACAAATAACTGACAAGCATGACAACTTTGTTCATTTTCAGGGTGTGTTTTGTTTTCTGTTGTTTGGGGGGTTTTGTTTTGTTTGGGGTTGGGTGTTTTGTTGTTTGTTTGGGTTTTTTTAATTGCTTTGCTGAGGTGCACCAAGCTTCAGATTACTACCAGCAACACAAAGAGGCAGGGCCCCATAGCTGAGCAGCCAAGGCTCCTAAGTTGTATCAGAGTTCAACCGAAGGAGAAGGATGCAGAGCACAATCTTCCCCTGTAAGACTACTTAGGGACAGCAGTTGGTTTTTACACCTGTCTTCTGTGCCAAAAGCTTCGAAGCCTCCATGACGACAAAAAAGTCTGAATGGCCAGCATCGTTCTTTTTGGCGGAGTTCCATGGAGCAACTCACTAATTTAGCTAGCAATAATTCCTGAAGGTGCAGATATTTGTTTGAATGCTAAACAAATGAAAATGTAACATAAGACTTCTTCCAGAGAGCAGAGACAGTAGCCATGCCCGTAAGAAAAAGGAAACGCTGCAATGAGATTCTGGAACAGTTTGGGAAAGTTGTGGCTATCCACCAGAAGCTGCATGGAAGAGGAGTCTAAAGTATGACTCAAACAGCAAATACCAGACCAAGAGTCTTCTCCCATAGCATGAAAAGATACAACAAATAAGTGTGTGTGGAAAAATTTTTCTGTAGCCTCTATATGCTATAGAGGTGAAAGTAAATGGCAGTCTTAATAAGGACTGCCATGAAAAATGTTTGTGTTGCTGCAGCAGTACTAGGGGAATCATATACCCACAGGGATCAGCAAGTGGCAATTAAAAGAATGGCCTTGAAAATGAAAGTGGGAAGCAAGAAAAGCAAAGAATGACACAGCAACTAGTTAGCAATATCATGGGAAGGAAGAACCCAGAGCAGAGGTATCTAGAAGACAGGTAATAAAGGGCATGAAGAGAAAATGAAAAATAAAGAAAGGATAAAAATGGAGGATGGAGTGTGGAAGATAGTGCATGCAGGACCTGTATCATGCTTGGTATTGGAAAAGGAGAAGGAAGACCTAAAGGAGACACAGAGCAACCAGGAAAATATTTGGGAGATGGAAGAATTGGGAATTGAAAGAAAATTCTCAAGCAAAGGCAAGCAAGTGGGTAATATATAAAGAACTGCACTGGAAAATGCCAAAAATCCCTTTTTAAAGTGTTTCTCCACATAGGAGAATGACAGGCTGACTTAATATTGGAGTCTGAATAACCATTACAGAGGTCATCCCCTTTAAATAAGTTTATTTGCTTTACTACACTCAATATTCTTAATGAACAGCATGCAAAACTCAATGATAGTCCTCTGAAGCAGGACTTTATTCATTAGAACAAAATTAAGACAACACCTTTTTATTAGAACAATTTCTCTAACTTTATTTCTGTAACAGTTACAATGATTGAAATCATTATTTAAATAAAAAATTTTCATATCAAAGCTAGGGTGAGACAGGAGTTTTTGTTTCTTAGAATTCTATTAACTTTTAAAAATAATAACATCTTCATAAATATCTGCTTCCCCTTCGTATGATTTTTTTTTTAAAAAAGTTGTTTTAAGTATTTGGAAAAAACAAATATAAAAAATATAAAATTCAAAATGGGAACAAAATACACTGAAATTCAAAAGTTAAGTATTTGCTGATCTGGTCCACAGCCATATCTTGGAACACTGAAGAACTTAAAATTTGTAACAGATAAAATGATAGCTAAAGAGATAAAGCAGTGTCAAAAAATGGAATGCTGCAATCCAAACACTTACATACTTTTTTGTTTTTCATGCTCATTGCTTTAGGCTAGCATGGTTGATGTTGCTACCATGCATGTGAAGTATTGTTAGAAGCAAAACAAAGATCTCAAAAGCAGACATGCATGAAAGCAAAGAGTACAGCTAAAACGGTAACACATCAAGTCCAAAACGGGTTGTAGAAACCTTAGGTGTCATTTATCGTATTTTTCTGTTTTTCAGAGACACAAATCCTGGAATTGTTAAATTTTAAAGCAATAACTTACCTCTGCAAATAAAGGTGATATAACTGTAGACAGGCATTGGGATAGAGGCCTCTTTGGGATATCCTTTTCCTTTAAAGAAAACAAAATTTTGACCAATTTTATTTCTGAAAAAAGGCAACCTCATTGTATTCTGTTTCTAGTTAAAGAAAAAAATAGTTCCAACACACTACACTTAATGAAAAATCTGTTTCTATGTATACACAAATATGTAAAACATTGTACAACTATTCCAAAGCACCGTGAAAAATGGAGGCTGAATTAAAATTTGAGGCTGCAGCACCTCAAATACATGCAAGCTCAAAATTAAAAAAACAAAAACAAAAAAAACCCCAACAACAACCCCACCAAATGACCCTACTGAGCATGTACTAAATCACAGACATAGATATTTACTAGGTGCCTCCTATATGATACAATATTTTTCTTATATTTCTCCAGTTCTGATAAGAGCATACACCCAGAGTTTTTAGAGCTAGGGTAACAACCACTTGCCCAGGCACACAGGCTGCAGACAATACGATGGACCAGCTCCTAAATATCCCTTATTCTGGTTTGGGGTTTTTTTTCTGGACACATGCACATTCCATTCTTTGCTACATTGTAGACTTTTTTCCTAAACGACCAGAATGCCTTCCCCAAAACCCAGTCTAGCTTTGTACTGACTGGTTAAATTTACTTTACAGAAGGAAGATTTTAAAAATAAAATATTGCCTGGTCTTCCTCCAGTGGTAATATTTCACAAACTACAGAAATATTTTGGTAAATATTTCATGAACAATGACACATCTACAGAATATCCAAACTTCAAGACTTCCTCAAAACGTTTTGTGAAAGGCAACTGTAGAATATACATTTTTAGCAAAAATTCTAAAGTTTTACGACATAAATGCTTTTAAAGGTATATAATAAATTATTAAAGCAAGAATTATCTCCTTGTATAATACAGTCAATATTTTGGGCACCTTATTTCTTTGCAACTCCAAAGGTTGGGCTGCTCCATTCTCTAGATTCTTGGGGTCTTTTTCTCTTATTGTAAAGATCCATTCTCCTGAATCACTCCCACCTGAAGCCTGGCCATCTGGTTCACTTCAAGGGGAGGAAAAAAAAAAAGTTTTATTACCTACACCTTATTGTCCATGTTCATTCAATATATATGCTAAACATAAAAACTCCAGCCAAGACCAAAATCAGGATTCTATTGTGCAAGCCAATAAGTATAAAGACAAGTATGAAAAGTAATGTAATTTATCTTTTGGGAAAATTAAAAAAATAAAACCACGATACTTCACTAAATGTTAAATTAACTTCAAAAAGAAAGAGGTATTGTAGACTGAAAACATTTTCACAAGTTACATAAACCAAGTAACATGAAGTATTTTATTGCTATCTGAAAACTGGCTTTAGTGGAGTACCTCAAATCATTAGGGAAGGGGGAAAAATGAGAAGACTTAATTCACTTTTTTACCTAGAAAAAACAGCTGAGACACTAGCTTAGAATACCTTTGAGGAAGACAGTTCATCCCCAGCCTGTTAGCAAGGTAAATTTCCCACTTAAAAAAAAATCGGCTAAAAAAGTACAGATACAGCATGGCTTTAACAAACTACATCACCATAAATCAATCTTTTGCCTCATTTTCTGTGGATGGCATAGTAATTTTTTCTGTAACTCCTGCGAAGTTAAAAAGAACAAAAACTTATGCTGACGCTAATCAGTCACTGCATTACAATCCTCCTCTCATACCATAAATATCCTCTTCTAAGTTCATTTCTTCCTGATCTGTGAATTAAGAGTGATTTGCAACAAAACTACCAATTAAAAGGCATCTAGTGGCCACTGTACAAAAAATATTTAGCACAGCCTACCAAGTCAAAAAGCACGTCATCAGTGTAAGAAAATTTTCCAAGATTTCTGCTTGAAGTCACATAGAACTTCTGGCTGTCACTGAAAAAGGCAGGTCTACCTTCCTTGTATACATTAGCTCTAGCAAGTTGATCCAACAGAAAAATATTTATCGATTTGGAAAGTTCGTATTCCAGCATGCCAAATCAACTCACCCTTTTATCACATCTAATACAAGGGCTGCTGTGGAAGCAGAGGAGGGGAAAGCAGGCTTAGACATAACATTAAATTGTCTTACAAGCACGCAATAACCATTCTAGTTCCACTAATATCCTATGCCAAGCCATCAAAGCTGGTCTGATATATTCCACAGGAGCAATAGACTGTAACCTCAAAGTTCAGTCAGTAACTGATCTGAGACCAGTTTTAGGACTAGTAATTTACCCTCCAAATCAGACCTGGTTTTGGGCTGGAACTGTGATCACTGGCAGGAATCAAGCCATTAATAACGTAGGACAAATCTACAGCTGTAACGGCAGCCAAGAAATCATAACCAGCCTGATGCTTGCCATTAGCACGCAGACTGGAATTGCAGAGAATAGTTGTGTTTATTATGAGGAATTTAATAGGTTTGTGAGTAAATTGTGGCAATCCTGTCACTTGATTTTCAAAAGTGTGTAATCTGATGATACCCACTATTTTCAAAATTACTTTTAGACTAACATAGTTAACTTTTTAACTGAGTCATAACTATCTGTAACTTGGTTTCCTAAGGAAACCAACTCATGAACCTATTGAACAGCTCCATCAAAATTTAATGGAGAGAAGTAAAAATTGGAAAGGAAAGAAATACGGAAATATCTACAAAACTACTTCTCCTTTTTCAATAAATAATTTGACATTTCATGACTATCATTCTGTAACGGCCCAAATTTTCTGGAAGGTTAGAAAAAAAACCCACATCATAAAAAAAAACACTTAGGTGATATGGTTTGTACCCCAAAACCCCATTATTACGGAAGCATTGTCCACTAACCCTCTCTTATATGCAAGGATATGCTTCTGCCTGTTTACTCAGATAGCCAAAAATGAGGGACAACCTGCCACCAAGGAGACAACTCCCCTCCTTACGTTTCCATGTGCACACACAGCACAGTGCATGTGCACACTGCTACTTGGCTGCGCAGGGCAAGACCTACCTTCTACTCCTATGACAGGAGTAACAGTTGGCCTTATGTCTAGGAAGTACCCTAGACCCTACATAAAAGAGAAGGTAACATAGAATGGGCCAGAAGAATTGTTCTCAGTGACTGTAATTTGCAGGAAATCCCTTGCAACACTGAAATCAAGATTTCATTGGTTTACCAAGGCTGCTAAGCTGAAAAACTGTAAACAACAGAACACAGGAATATATGTACTAAAAATAACTACTTGGCTCCTATATTTACAAAGGATATTTTACAAACTCAAACTTACGTATCTGAGTCATCAGAACTGGAGTCGTCATGACTTTGTTCAGACTTCCATCTCTTGTGCCTATCAATAAGGTCAGTCAGGTAGGAAGTTTTCTTTGAGTTTCGTAAAATAAATTTGTGTTTTAAGAGCTCTTTTGCAGTAGGTCTCTTAAAAAAAAAAAAAAGATTTTTTTTACTGTGTTTGAGAGTGTTAAATGACTCACTATAAAAAGATTAAGAAATCCAGACTTCAGACTTGATACGAATGAGATTTTAAATATATACAGCATAAAAAAAAAAAACCAACAAAAAAAAGAGATGCTGGTGAATATGTTGCCCCATATTAGAAAAGCTGAACTGCATTTATTCATGTAATTCATGTAAAGCAGCCAAGTTCTCTACTATACATTGACAAACAGATGAAACTCACAAAGCTTGGGTCCTTGTTTAAGCAAGCCTCAACAAATTCTTTGAGGGATTTACTGAAGTTTCCTTCTAGCGTTGGTGGATTGTTCTTAGGAATGAGGAACAAAACCTTCATTGGATGCAATTCTGAATGAGGTGGCTCTCCTTTTGCAAGTTCTATGGCTGTTATGCCTAATGACCAGATATCTGCCTGTAAGAAACAATGCTTTTAAAATTAAGTTGGAGAAAGAAAAGAAACAGTGTTGCTTGCAAAGGTAGATTTTAAACCTTTACTGTAAATCATTTCATATGTAAATTGTTCTTGTTAACATGGTCTGGTTTATGTGGTTAACCACATAAAATAAAGTATACAGAGCTCCTTGGTTGTTTTTACTCTACAGCATAAAGCAGTTCTACTTATTAGAGTTTTAAAACTTTTTGAAATCAGTACTATTACACCAGCAGTTATTACTGATCTTGAAACACAAATATTTTTTAGAAGTAATGATAGAGTTGTTATAAACTAGCATTTTTTCCACCATATTCAAATACACTATGTAAATACAGGGCAAGACTCAAATATTGGCATAAAGGAAAACATTATGACATGCACAAGATTTTTCCTCAACAAGCATCAGCCTAGTACAACCATCAGAAATTTAATACATTAAGAATATAATTTTCCTGGGGTTTAACGCTGTCTTATATATCATTCACAGACTAGAGAAATGCAGTCTAGAACAGTATTATTCAACTTTTTCAACCCAAGATTTCAACCAGTTAAGTATTTGGTCCAAGTAGCTTCTGAAATATTGACAGCGCTTGTCTACCTGATCTGTGAGCCATGTCTTCTAGGCCAAGAAGGCCTGATCTAAATCAAGCTTCCCTAAGTCATACCCATGCAAAACGTAGATCCAAAGGCTCACGGCCAAGTTAGACGGACAAATCAAGTAATGCAGCAGAGACCAGTGCTAGATGTGCTATCATTTAATTTCACTGACAAGTTGGATTCACATTGTGACTGGATGCCACAAAATGCATATTGGTTTTTTTAGGGAAGATTATTTAAATATATTTGTTTCATAGGTTTTCATCATCAAAATGTGCTACTCTTTCTAGGGAACGCTGTTTCCCTAGATCCAAATCCTATTGCCACATCTCCCTGAAGTGATGTGAAGTAATGCATCATAATTCTCTATGTTCTCCCGAAGTAATAGACCTAAAAGTCAAAATAATGGATGAATAAACCCCTCAAAGGTGAAAGGAAAAAAAAATTCCCAGAAACATCTGTTCCAAAGAACAAGATATCAATTACAAATAGTTACATTTTGGTTTTTGTTTCTTTTGAAGTGAAAGCGGAACAAAGACTTATTCTCAGGAAAGGAGGAAAGATCTGAAGTGAGCTGCCTCATTTTACTTCCAAACAGAAGATTTGGAACTTTGCTACACTGTAAACAGACCTATTTCCAGGTACTGCATAGGGCAGAGATTTCATTTTTCACTGCTCTCCTTACTAAGTGTCCCTCTAATCCATCTGACTCTGCTCATTTGATAGGCTAGGTTATCTTTGACTAATTCATACAGGACTACAGGCTGATATACATTGCAGCTATCATAGCTACATTGCATGACTGAAAACAAGCTCCTTCTTCCTTGTTCAGACAGTATTCTACTGTTAAGAGCTTAGTTACTTAATTTTGCAAGTAAGTATGGAAGAAAAAAATCTGAGTCAATTAGCATACCATTGAATTTATGAAATTATGTTTTGTTAACCCATGTTACAGAACTGCCATCTCGCACTAAGCACAGAGGATTACATAAATATATGAGCTCTGAGTTTCATTTATCTTAGTAACAGCATTATCAGCTAAGCTCTCCTCAAGTCTAAGTATAATTGTAACTTCCCTCTAGCAGGAAAGCTTTTCTTGGTTATGAAAGAAAAATGTCACCTGCGAAGATGAGTCTTTGTGTTAACAACTGAGCATTATTATTTCCAATTTATTCTGCATTTCAGTTTCTCAAGAGGAATGTGTTAAAGCCATATAAATGGATAGGTTTTCTTCTGCCAGACTTTCAGTCACAGATGGAGCATGTGTATATGTAAGTATAAAAATCAAATTTATATATGTACGTGTGCATAGATATCCACATGTGCACACATATATATATAAAAATAACTTCCTTTTTTTCCTCATCTATTTTTAACTTTCTACTGCTAGTGATCTTCCCCCACAAAAAATGAATGAAAAAGTCCAACAAACCACAGCTGCACACTGAACTCTGAAGTCCCAGATGGGTTTTGGAAGCCCATTCCTGTTTGAAGCATCAAGAATAAACCCCCCCAAATTCCTCTAGAACTGTAACCTCTCCTTTCACAGATAAGAAAGGATCTCAAAACAGGGATGTAAGTACCAATTGCATGTGTATCCAACTAAGCATTTCTAGGATGCGCTTGTCTGACAATGAAACTCCAGAAAAAGTGCAAATCAGTCCTCCAAATGGGGAGAGAGAAGCATGACCTTAAGAAGTGATGACACTGTATCATCACTAAGTTTTACCACATGTTATGATTTTTACGGTTTCAAATCTTGAACAAAAATTATTCTTCCAAGTTCAGATGAGAGTCAGCAAGCCACTGGTAACTACTATTTATTGCAGTACTGCCATAAGCCTTTCCTCTTCCATTCTAATGAGTAAAATTTAGTCTGACTTTGAAGCTCTTGTAAGTCAGAGAAAACAGGCTATATGCAAGAGAAAAACATTTCAAAATTAAATATTTTTTCTTCTATTAGAAGTTATATAGTAGAAAGGACTAGGTATGGGAAAACTGAAGCAGATAAGAAAAGACGATGCCTTTCAGATGAAAGGAATCAAAACAGGAGGAAAAAGTAAGAACTATTGCCAAAATAACAGATATTAGAAAGAAGAGAAAGATCCTGTGAGGACATTATATCAAAGAACAAATAGCTTGGAGAGAAGGAAATAAATGATATGAGAAAAGATAAATAAAAAAAGGAAAAGAAATTTTTAAAAAAGTGGTAGCTTTAATATAACGATTATAGTCATGTTTTGACATTTCACAATTTTTCCCCATGGCTGATAGTTTCTTTCACAGCTAGATTTTATCACCCCTGTGGATTACGTGGACTTGAAAAATAAACTACAAGGGAAAATGAAAAATAAATTTGAAATTTTTGTTATCAAGTACACCTCTCAAATTAGCTACTGACCACATTAAAATGCAAACATTATAGCTAACTTACTCTCTCACACAAGCCATCTGGAAATCCTAAGTTCTCAAATATATCAGTCTGAATTATTATTTATAAAAGTCTGACAGAAGCAGTTGAAATTTTAGTATCTATGTCAAAAATTACATACCTCGATTATTTTTTAGGCAATAAAGACAAGCGTTGGAATGCCTTGTAATTATACCTTGCAATATATGGTCTGAGAAAGAATAATAGGAATATCTTAAGGACACAAAACAGTTTGGGAATGGGACTGAATAAAGCAAGAATGGAATGGGCAAATTCTGTATGGCAGTTAAGGAATACACAGCTCATATATGCATAAAGCAGTCCAAAAAGCCTCACATAATCTTGAGAGCACGGTATTGGGGACTTAGTTTGACATTGTTCAGTTTCACATATTTTAAAAGAAAAATACACAAAATGTATGCATTTGTTAAATCCTGAATTAAAACATTTTTCATTAAAGCATTAAAACATTAAAGCATTTTTCAAAAATGCAGACATTTTTTATCTATGAAAAAACCCTGCTTCTCTATCTTAACAAAAGATAAAAGATATTATATACATACATTCCCATAACATACATTTGCGAAAAAAATAAAGACTATATTCAAAATCAACAGCTTATGTTAAGTATTCATTACTTTTACACAATCTTAAAAGATATTAACATGAATGTTAAAATATTATAAAGTAATGCAAAGACAATAAAGATACACTGTTTTAACCAAAAGCATTTTAAGTGCTTCACATGAGAAAACTCCTCAGAAGTTTGTCTCTTTAATTCCGAAATCTGTGTTTGACAGAATGGTTAACTCAGAAGCATATCTGAATTCAGAGGAGGTGTAACTATATCTTAATATCCAAAACTGCTTCAAGTGGAAATCAATATACTGTAATAATAGTTCTTGCATGAGTTATGTTGATAATATAGTGTAAGCCACGGTCAGGAAATCCACCAACTGCTCATAATATTAAGACAAGTGATAATAGTGCTGAATCAACAGGAGACTTCAAGCTTTATAGCAGTAACTAGCGATGTTAGATGTCAGGATGCATCTGCCTTCCTTTAGCCTGGTTAGTAGTCATGTCATAACTTAGGTTTTGCTTTGCCTTGCATAGCTGTGCTATTTCAGCAGTCAGCATGAACAAAGATATCAATCCAATCAGAAAAGGAGCAATAAACAATTTAACAGTTGGTGTGAGGCATACAGCAAATGAGGAAATAAGCTGATGAACTGTGTGAAAGAAGCAGGTGAACCATGCCCAAGGTAGTGTTACAGGGCACTTTCAAGCTTTTATTGGGAATCCATCAGCATGTGGGAAGTAAGAGGATTCGACAGGGCAAAGAACAAAACCGGGTAATACAGCAACTACGTAATGGAAATTGCTTGTACCTCAGCAGGAGTATGCTATGAAGAGGATAGTCCTGCCTAACACCTCTCAAGCATGGCCAGCTTATGGAAGGAAAACGAGGTTAGATTTGGATGTCTGTGTTCTCACATATGCATAAGACTGTCTTACAATAAACAGGCCTTCTCAAGTGGTTTTTGTGCAACGACAGCAAAACTATTGCCTGTAAAATTTAGTCTGGTCTCTAAGTGCCAAAAGGCTCACAGACGCCAATAAGTATCAATGGTTCATTCAAAACTGGAGCTCTGGTCTTCTAAAGAACTGATCAAGTATCCAAGACCTTTTCATGTCCACATGACATCGTAGACTGAAACAGCCAGAATTCAAAACCTGAGGACTGAATCATGCTTTGTCCAAGTGAAAATCATTCCCAGAAGTCAAACTTCAAAAAAACCCCAACCACCAATACCCCAAAAAGAAACAAACAAAACAAACAAAACAAAAATGACCATCCACAAAAAAAATGCTTTAGTCAACCTTCAAATTGGGAATTTGAGGTCATTTAAGCTTCTAGAAGCTCTACAGAGCTCTGCTAGTTATTTTTAAATAACCTCTCTACAGAAAGATATCAAATAGGGAGGGAAGTAATACTACAAACAATCTAGGCCAGAGTCAGTATTGGTGAGTTCCTTACATGGATGAGGGTGGAAAGAAACACGCCGACCTGTCTCCTTGTATGGAGATGTGACCAGTCAACAAATCCCTACAAGGGGATCAGAGGAGATGGGCAAGAAAGATGACCTCAGGGAAGAGCATAAGGAATGACTGCTAATTATCAGAAAGAAAGCTGATCTTATCTCAATACAAGTGGGGCTTGAGGGTGACCTTTGTTTCAGATGTACAGCTGCACCAGTAGGTCATAGGGTTGTGCAAATAGCCTTCCCCGATATAATCAGTAGAGCAATGGCTCACTGAGCTAGCCAGACCAGCATGGGGGAAGAGGAAGGGAAGGGCAGCAAGGAGGTGTGTATGTAGCTCAGCCTAATAGAAGTATAAAAAACAAGTAACCAACAAAATGAACTTTGAAGAGAGCAAAGGGCTTGAGCTGGCTTCAATGCACATATTCCTTCCTGGCAACTGGGAACACCCAATACCATAATGGTGAGCATACGGAGACCAGTAATGGGAATCACATTTCTATTGTGATCCAACAGTATACAATTGATATATTGTGCTTGTGTTGTGATTTCAGTATACTGCTGTACCACTCTGCTAAATCAAAATCCTGTGGAATGTGAATATCTACAAATAAGTAAATTTGATATTAAACATTAAACCCTCCCCATACGGGATATCTAAAAGAACATGGTCAGAGAGTAGTATAGACCTATGCAGTGCATTTTTCCACAGATGAATAACAGCACTTTCAAACACTTTCGCACCCACCAAATCCATATTCTTCAACAGTGTTGCTTACTATATTTTTCTAAAAACAAGTGGAAGCATATTGTATAACATTGCTCTCTTCTACTTTTAAACAACCACCAAAAATACTCATCAATAGAGTGGGATAAAAGGTGACAGGATGTGCTTGTCAATATTGGAATATTTCTTGACATCTGGATGGGCTTAATACACTAGGAAACTTAAGGTTTGGATACAAATTAAGAAAGCTTCTGCTTAGGAAAGGTACTGCTAAACGTACACCTGTCTAGACACAGCCAAAGTTATTAGCTACGTTCTGAAGACCAACCTATGTAATTCAAATTAAAAAAGGAAGGGACTTTGGCTAATGCCGTGAAATACCTTACCTTCGAATCATATGCCGATTGCTTTATTACTTCAGGTGCCATCCAAAATGGTGTTCCCACAAAGGTATTCCTCTTTATCTGTGTATCTGTTAGTTGTCCTGCTACTCCAAAATCTGCTAGTTTTACTTCTCCTTGTTCAGATAGCAAAACATTAGCAGCTGGAAGAAAAGAAGAAGAAATCGCGGAAATTAAGACATTTGATACTGGAAGGGTGTTCATTTATACTGCATGAGCTCTTCTAATATTATTACAATAAAAATAAAAAACAATTTACCTTTAATATCTCTGTGGATTTTCTTCTCTGAATGCAAGTAATCAAGTCCTTTGAGTATCTCCCTCAATATCGTAGCAATCTGGGTTTCATCGAGTGAGCCAGGTTCTAACTAGGAGACAAATATTTTTATATGTGTGTGTGTATACATATATATACACACATATAAAAAGGAGAAACAGAAAGAACAGAAATAACACTGTGACTATAAAAAGACTATAAAACTCCTTCTGTCACATCTCAAAACTTCCAATTTGCTAACTTCGCAACGTGAGATACAACCCAGAATATTCCTTAAAAAAATACATAGTTCCAAACTAAGTGGCCTTATGAACAACAGGCAAAGAAATATTTCATTTACCTAAAACACTTTTAAAATTTTGTTAAAGGCTCCATAAAGACACAGTTTCAAGTTATTGCTTTGTGATCAGGTCATAGATATATACATTGCATTTGAAAAGCATCTACATTGTAATCTGATTATTAACATTACACTGAATTTAGATGTGCAACTCCACAGGCCCTATATGGACCCAAATCTCAAAGTCTGAGAAAGAAACTAAGGCATATACGGTACCACATCAATCACATATCCTATTACTATATACTGCAAGGGATTTTGTGAAGCTCTCTGAAAGACAACTCAAACTGCTAGGCTGACAGAGCATTGCATATTTAAAAAGTTAACTTTTTTCATATAAAACTGAATGTATAAATCTGCAAATTGTTAGAATTAAAGGTTCCAAGTAATTTAATTCTTACGAGAAGAAACAGCAATGGTAGAAGATCTCAGAGCTCTCTATGACTGATATAAATTCTAAAACTGAATATGCCACTAACTCTAAAGGGACAGAGGAAAGGTCACTACCCAGAGAGGCTTCTTAACCAATAAGGGCATTTCAAGAGACAGACTGAAACTTTGTGGACAGCAATTAATATTGGAAATATTCCAGTATTCTAGTTTATTCCACAATAGCAGTCATTGAAACACAATCAAAAAGGTGTATCTCTGAAGCTTCATTCTGTGAGAAAGAAAGCATTTCAGATAAAAATTTTCAGATAAAAATTTAAAAATTACATCCTCAGAAATCCTCAGCTAATAGGTAGGAACAGAGGTAAGATATCATGTAATGCAGACAACATATTTGTTTTACCTTTGTAGCTTTACTTACAACCTTTTTTGCTTTTCTTTAGCTTTGATAATATACATGATATTGCCACTCCCTGAAGCCCACTAAGACATTCTCAAGGCTTTGCTCCAGCTAGGCTGCGAGAGCCAGTTCAAGACTTGGCAACATGATAGGGCACATCTAATGGGGGAAAACCTCTTTTGTCAGATGTTAGTTCACCTTAGTGAGGAGGAAGCTAGTGAAAAGAGACTAAGGCTGAGAATATTAGTGCTTGTACCTTAGCCACAAACCTAAATTATACTCGAAGGTGAAAAACAACATACACATAATTGCATTAAATGTACTTTCTCTTGTGAGGTGTGATTTTCAAAACAGCCAGTGCATATTCAAGTACAGAAATCACCAGGCTAACATGACACCTCGAACATGGAATTCAAGATTCCTATTCAGTCTTGCCTTGAGTACAGAAACGTGATAAAGTGTGCCAGTTGTCCTACCAGATTCCAGTTGAGAACCATAATGTGCATGTTAGAACTAGGAAAACATGCAGCATAGATTGAAAAAGAATGAAGCACACACGAGATGCTTAATATACACTTACATGATTTCAGTTCTGTGGCACAATTTCTTCAATAACATTTCAGGATGTGACCAAAGACTTTGTACTATTTCTAGGCAACAAACTTAGGGAATAAAAATGTGGTCATCACACAAGTGAAATGTGTGTGATTAAAAAAATGACAAGAAAATATGATAACACCTATTGTCTTTCTGCTTTTTTATACCTTTTTGAAGCACGAAGAAAGTAATAATTAATTTATAAAAGCAAACCCAGTTTCTAATTCCTCTTCTGTCAGGAAAAAACTATCACAACAATAAACAAACTTTTTTCAGCATATCTTTATGGGGAACATTATCAATTTCTACACAACCGTAGAACTCCTTCTAACAGGATGTGGAAACTAAAGGTATAAATGGGTTCCAAAAGTTAATTACAATTAAAATATGGCCGCACAACTGCAGGAAGCCTGCATTTACTACCACCTCCTGTCTTCTGGATGTCACCAGCAGAATCCCTCTACACAGGCCTTTTTCCTCTCGCTCTTTTCTCAAGCATTTATTAGTTGCCTCTGTTGAGAACAGCAAACTATGCTACAGAGACATTCGGTCTCAATTGCTATGACAATTCTCACATACTTAACACATCCATTTTTATTTCTCTAATAGTATTTTTAAAACCCTCAATAAATATAAGATGGCATGTGATTTTTTTTTTTTAATAGCTAAAGTGAATAGTCAGCATCCTGCCATGGAAAATACAATCTGCACTGAATCTTTTGAATTATGATTCAAAACCAGGTAATTTTTTGTTACTGTATCTGGCGTAGTTAATCTAGTCTTTCAAATATCCTAAACCATATCTCCAAAAAAATCACACTCTATTAAGCAAATCTCCTTGCAGAATTAGATACAAAAATCTTTGCCGGAAGAGAAATGGAACTGATATGGTTCACTAGATTTACAATTTACAAAGTTCTGTTGTATATATACGCATATCACACAGACACAGAAAATATATCGTAGAATCATAGAAGATCTCAAGTTGGAAGGGACCCATAAGGATCATCGAGTCCAACTCCCTGCTCCTCGCAGGACTACCTAAAACTAAACCATATGACTAAGAGCATTGCCCAGACGCTCCTTGAACTCTGACAGACTTGGTACTGTGACCACTTCCCTGGGGAGCCTGTTCCAGCAACCAACCACCCTCTCAGTGAAAAACCTTTTCTAATGTCCCGTCTGAACTTCCCTCGACGCAGCTTCATTCCATTTCTTCGTGTGCTGTTGCTGGTCACCAGAGAGAGGAGATCAGCACCTCCCCCTCCACTGCCCCCCTTGAGGAAGGTGTAGCCTGCAATGAGGTCCCCCCTCAGCCTTCTCTTCTCCAAGCTGAACAAAACAAGTGACCTCAGCCACTCCTCCTACGTCTTGTCCTCAAGGCTTTCATCATCTTGGTCACTCTCCTCTGGACACAATCTAATAGTTTGATGTCCTTCCTGTATTGAGGTGCCCAAAACTGCACACAGTACTTGAGGTGGGGCCACACCAGTGCAGTGCAGAGAGGGACAATCACCTCCCTCGACCGACCAGCTATGCTGTGCTTGATGCATCTCACGACACAGCTGGCCCTTTTGGCTGCCAGGGCACACTGTTGACTCACGGTCAACTTGCCATCAACCCAAACTCCCAGATCTCTTTCCGCAGGGCTGCTCTCCAGCCTCTCATCCCCCGGTTTGTACATATAACCAGGATTACTCCGTCCCAGGTGGAGAATCCGGCACTTGCTCTTGTTAAATTTCATACAGTTGGTGATTGCCCAGCTCTCTAGTCTATCCAGGTCTCTCTGTAAGGCCTCTCCTCCCTTGAGGGAGTCCACAGCTCCTCCTATTTCTTTGAAATACATTTTTTTTAATACCAGCCTTGTGTTTCTGTCTCTATTTAGACTTCAGTGACACTTGAAACAGTTTGTTTGTTTAGGGGATGTTAAAATGTATACACTAGGAATAGTTGTGGTGGCAGAATTAGGAGACAGAAAAAACTATTTTCAGCCACTAGTGCTCTCTGGCTGACTGAAGATTAGCATTCTAAGATGTTTATAACCTGCTTCCAATGTTATGTTGCTTAGTTCCCTTCTATCTATACAAATAATCAGTCTTGCCTCATGGAAAAGAACATTCTCCTGGCATTGACAAATACTTTTTCTCCTTTACTGGAAATAAGCCAAATGACATATTACAGTTTCCAGAATTATAAGATAGGAAAATTATGTGAGGTAAAATAACAAAATTCACACATAATTTACTTACTAGATCAAGGGCAGAGCCTCCACCCAGATATTCCATTATTATCCATAATTTTGTATCCTGTAAAACAAAAAACAAAAAATGTATTAAGTTTAAAAAAAAAAAATCATTTATTAAGTTAATGGGACTTGTTCCATTCTTTTTGCTGAACAAGGAATCTACAGTTTTGAAACACCACTAACGTTTAGCTGTTCCTCCAAAATATCTTTGGATTATTCTTTAAGATACATAATTTTTAGTCCTATCTGATAAGGAATTAATTTCGTCCATCACAAGCTATTTACACAGCTCTGTGTGTGTGTGTATGTGTGTTCAAGAATGTTTAATTCTGTTCCTCTAAATTAACAAGAGGAAAGCTACTCCACATTTACCAACGGGAAAGAACACAGACATTAGATGTTTGTTACTTCCAAATACTTGATGCATACCTTAATGTCACACTCTGGTGTGACATTTCATGGTACCTCTTTTTTGTACCTATACTAATACTACTAGAATACAGAGAGCATTCAAGGAAAAAGAAATTTCTCTTTATTATGGAGAAGATTATACTGGGTACTATTGAAAGGCATTTAAAGAATAATGCAATCATCAGGCACAGTCAACGTGGGTTCACAAAAGGAAAGTCCTGTTTAACTAATTTGATATCCTTCTATGATAAGGTCACCCGCCTGGTGGATGAAAGGAAGGCAGTGGATGTATTTTTTCTGGATTTTAGTAAGGCTTTTGATACTGTCCCTCACAGCATCCCTCCGGACAAGTTGTCCAGTTGTAGGATGGGTGGGTTCACAGTGCGCTGGGTGAAGAACTGGCTGAAGGGCAGGGCTCACAGGGTTGTAGTGAATGGGGCTACGTCTGGCTGGCAGCCGGTCACCACTGGTGTTCCTCAGGGCTCAGTCCTAGGGCCAGTTCTTTTCAATATATTTATGAACGATCTGGATGC